GCTTGGGTAATACTAAGTCAACCCGAGTAAACCTAGGTTTACTCCACCTTCTAGCATTACCCGTAACATATATTAGTCTAGTCGACAAGTTGAAAATGGAACAAAATAGAGATACTGCTCTTAAAATTATGTGCGATAGCTCATTCGAACCGGAATGACGCCTAGAAAAATGTGCTAAAAGCGTGTATTAGCACATAAAAAATTGCAAAAGTTATAGACCATTAAAGATGAAAAAAAATGGAATTTAGTTTTTTGCCAATATTTAATAAACTATTAATATTTAAGAAATTTCAAATAAAGATTCTGAAAGAGGAGGAAATTTCCAATAAAAAACTCTCAGCTCCCGGAACTCTATCTCCATTATTTATAACTTTAATTTAACGCTGAAAATAGGTCTGTGCGTGACATTTTTAGGATTCGCGCGTGGCGTCAAAAGCGACTACGGCACATTAATTAATTTATTTAAGGTATTGAATATTTTTTTTTAAATTTGAAAAAATTATGGTGTGTTCTGAACACTATAATTAATTTATTCCCGTTGGAAATTTTACTTAAAGTTAATTTTTCAACAAGTTAAATAATTGTTAACTAACGAAATTTTCTCGAACGACCGTCTTAATTGTAAGTGAAAAAAAATGTTTTAATAATGGTCGTAAAAATATTTCGCTTCGTAGAGCCTTTCTTACATACATACTTAACAAGATCGTGCCATAAAAGTTAAAGAAATATTTATACTTTGTTTATAACAATTTTTTTACTTAAACAAAAACTTAAAAATCCAAGTAATGTTGTTAAAAATTTATTTTTTTTTTTTTCTAAATCATCATATTATCGTTTTTATATTAATACAAGATATTTATTGATTTGCAAAAAAAAAAATTTCCCGCCATTTGTTGATAATTTTTTTTAAACAAATTGATTAAATCAATTGTTTTAAAAAAAAAATTTCACAACTTTATTACATTACAAATATTATGATTGTTTAAAAAAAATTTCCTTAATAACATATTTTAATTGTTTATAATCGTTTTTTTTATATTTCTATTGTTTAAATAATTAGTTAAGAAATTTTTTTTTCTAAAAATCATAATTCACAATCCTCTATAAAGTAACAGAAAAAAATTTTTTTAATCAACAATTCTATTGTTTATTAACTTACCAATTTGTTATAAACAAATGTTCAACTTTTTTATATTTTTTTCTAAAACTTCTAAAATTAACAAAAACAACCATATATAACAAAATATAGAAAAACATTTTTTTAAATTTTTTGATTATCATGAATATTACTTTTATTAAAAAAATTTTTTTTTTTTTTATAGACTTTGTTATATATGTTTGTTTTTGTTAATTTTAGAAGTTTTAGAAAAAAATATAAAAGTTGAACATTTGTTTATAACAAATTGGTAAGTTAATAAACAATAGAATTGTTGATTAAAAAAAAAATTTTTTTGTTACTTTATAGAGGACTGTCAATTATGATTTTTAGAAAAAAAAAATTTCTTAACTAATTATTTAAACAATAGAAATATAAAAAAACGATTATAAACAATTAAAATATGTTATTAAGGAAATTTTTTTTTTAAACAATCATAATATTTGTAATGTAATAAAGTTAGAAATTTTTTTTTTAAAACAATTGATTTAATCAATTTGTTTAAAAAAAAATTATCAACAATGGCGGGAAATTTTTTTTTGCAAATCAATAAATATCTTGTATTAATATAAAAACGATAATATGATGATTTAGAAAAAAAAAAATTTTTTAACAACATTACTTGGATTTTTAAGTTTTTGTTTAAGTAAAAAAATTGTTATAAACAAAGTATAAATATTTCTTTAACTTTTATGGCACGATCTTGTTAAGTATGTATGTAAGAAAGGCTCTACGAAGCGAAATATTTTTACGACCATTATTAAAACATTTTTTTTCACTTACAATTAAGACGGTCGTTCGAGAAAATTTCGTTAGTTAACAATTATTTAACTTGTTGAAAAATTAACTTTAAGTAAAATTTCCAACGGGAATAAATTAATTATAGTGTTCAGAACACACCATAATTTTTTCAAATTTAAAAAAAATATTCAATACCTTAAATAAATTAATTAATGTGCCGTAGTCGCTTTTGACGCCACGCGCGAATCCTAAAAATGTCACGCACAGACCTATTTTCAGCGTTAAATTAAAGTTATAAATAATGGAGATAGAGTTCCGGGAGCTGAGAGTTTTTTATTGGAAATTTCCTCCTCTTTCAGAATCTTTATTTGAAATTTCTTAAATATTAATAGTTTATTAAATATTGGCAAAAACTAAATTCCATTTTTTTTTCATCTTTAATGGTCTATAACTTTTGCAATTTTTTATGTGCTAATACACGCTTTTAGCACATTTTTCTAGGCGTCATTCCGGTTCGAATGAGCTATCGCACATAATTTTAAGAGCAGTATCTCTATTTTGTTCCATTTTCAACTTGTCGACTAGACTATATACTGATTACTGGCATACAAGAAGTTGCCTTAGCAACAATCTCGTTTTAAGAAATATAAACAGTTTGATTAAAAATGTCTTATAAAAAAAAAGCTTTGTATTTCTTTAATATTAACAAACACCATAAATCCTGATCTATCTTTCATATCGACTAATTAAAACTTTACAAAAACTCATTTAAAGAGAAAAAAAACTAGGTGATCTGTATATAAACCTATTTGCAGAGTATAAGAAAAGAAAAAAACCTAAAACCTAAATTTTTGCGATTTTTTGGGCAAAGCCCCTTTGCAGATGATTTAGTTTTCTGCGTACACAGATTTTATTTGTCGCGGGAGCCCACACCGCGGCCGCATACATTACGATTGGTTCAATAACGGCAGTGTACGCGGCCGCGATAACTGGTTTAGTGCCCATTCAATCTTCGCGGCTTTGCTTGCTGCTTATAAATCTGGATGGCCTGCCGGCATACCCTCTCCACATGTATGTTGAATGTGAGTCTAGCATCCAGATCAACTGCGAGAATTCGAATGTGGTTATCCATCTGTATCGGTACATTATTCATATTAAGCCGTGGGCTGTCATACTTCAACAAACTACAAAAAAAATCTGAGTGTAAAATCTCGGTATAGTTAACTTCTAAATATGTGAAATAATTGAGTTTGAATTTACAAATTTTAGTATGGGACATGTACGTTTTACATTGATTTAATATTTATAGTATTTGATCTGATGTCACACAAAATATTGTGTAAAAAACAATTGGTTCTGTATTTTCGGTGTCTAACTGACGAAAAGATGTTTCAGATAAATTATAATATTCAGTACAATCACTACCAAGCACTACCATCATTCAAAATACACAAGTCTAGTTCATCAATGAGATTGTACAAACTATTGACTCTACTATTATTTGATTGACATCCAAAAACTATATGGTGTACATGTAGATCTACCATTATTATACATGGCTTAGGTACTTCAAGTAAAATCTTTTTCATTATGTGAATATTAAATCTGTTAACATCATTATTGTGAGTGCAATATACACAAAGAATATGCAATTTGCCCATCGATATTTCTACAGCTACACAGATATTCTGAACGGATTCATGAAAAGTAGAAACTATATCATATTTTAGATTTTGTTTGATTAGTATACCTACACCATTATGGGTACTAGCGGAATTTTTATGTAAAAAGTTATATGGTGCAAAGTTTGGAATTATACTAGTGCTTTTAAGCCAAGTTTAATTTAATTCCTTTCCGTTCAATATTTTGTTCCGTTCAGATATTCAATAAGGCTTTCTTACTCTGTAAGCTTTGTATATTAAACTGGGCTATGTTTAAAAATGTATCCATTAATCATTGTACGACTTGTAGGAGGCGTTGGAAGTTGTTGTTGCTGTTACTGGCGCCGCTAGCACGGTTGAAGTTATTACGATTGCAGCTATTATTATGTTGGCGTTTCTTACAATTTTCAATTACGTGTCCCGGGAACTTACAGTATCGACGCGTCCGCCACGCATAGGATAGGATTTATTTTGTTGGTCTGAGACGCTTTAGTTTCTTGTAACATTTGCATTTTTTCCTCTGAAATTGCCTGGTTAGTGGCCTCATTAAGGATCTGTGGTTTTTCATCCTAACAAAATTAGAGATTTTATGGGTAAAGCCCATTATGAAACAGTGTAACGCCAATTCTTCCATAGTGGATATCTCACCGGACAGTTCGACCTTTTTCTTATAAGCTAGTGTGATCTCGGTTAATAATTTATAAAGGCTGGATTCCACTCTCAAGGAGTATTGGCTAACCGATTCGTGAGGGAGTTGTTGGCTCTGTTGTAGGTCTAACAATAAATGTGCATAATGCTTGAGCTATCCAAATTGAGATTGTAAAAATTGGCTCATCTGTTCCCAGCTTTCAGTCTTTAATGGACGCAGCGGTTTCAGCTTTGTTTTCGAGTTGGCATAGTATATAATTTAGCAAAAGGGGCTTTTGACTATGAGAGGCTAATTTAAAAGCATTATCGCAATTATTTATAAATGAACATAACTTATCACGGGATCCGTCAAAAGGTTTTATGAACTTCAATAACACACTTGTCTCTAATTTTTCAGACATACTACTCTCAGACCTTAATTCGACATCTTTCTTTGTGGACATTTTAACAAAATTTTGAACTTATATAAGAAATATACGCGTAAATAGGATGCACTAAGATAAGTATCAGTATTTAGAAATATTTATTCGTCGAATTAGATTCTGTTGTTATGGTGTAACTAATACAGTTTTATCTTATTATAAACAATGACGAGACTGGAGCTTCCTCTCGACGCGACGCGAGACAGATAACACTGGATAATGTAGTTATTAAAATTAAATCACTTACAGGTTCAGGAACACAATAATGCAATATGCAACGATTTTATACATATTTGGCAATTAGCCGATTTTACTTAGAGCACTGCACTTAAAAACACTTTCGCTTTTGCATTATTAGGTACCTATAGCACTATGAGACTTGTCACTTTAAACTTTGCACTTTCGAATTTAGATCTTTCGGAACTGGACTTTTCGCGGATACTTCTACGCGGAGGGTACGCGAGATTTATAAAAATCCCTTTTCGCTGCCACCAATTGTTACGCGGAGGTGGGAAAAAAAAAGCAACAAAGGGGACTACTATTTCTAAAGGGCAAAAGGGTTTTGGAGAAACATGCGGAAAGCATAAGAGTAATGTTAAAGGTTGTGTTTTTCTGGCGTGTGTTATTTTTTTAAACAAAATTGTTTGCTTGCTAATAAACTAATAAAACCAACCTAATTTGTGAAAACGGAGTGTAGGTTTTTTTATCACATGTGAAGGATTATGATTTCAGCTGCAATTATATTTTTGCGCAAGCAGACTGCATGACAAATAAATGTGAATTCATGTTGATGCATTTGTTTTTACTTTTAACCACTATAACATCAATGTTGCCTGAGTCTGCGTTCAAGATTCTTTGGTTTCCTAGGCTGTTACTTGTATAATAACATAAATGAAAAAATTAACATTTACCCACTATCTAAATATGAATGTAATAAGATGGTTACTGCTTGGCCGAAGACGTTGAGTTATGATGAAACAGAAGATTTAATAACTGTTATTCTGTAACACACCCACCCCTCCACACATATACACACACCTACGCACGCACACACACACTTAGAGAGAGTGACACAGACACACGCGCGCACAAATTTATTTTTACGACTCCGTTTGCAATGTTTTCTATTAGCACTTAATACTTATTTTCTTCTATTGTATCTTATGACTATGACCTGATTGTACGTGTTCCGGTCCGGTGGTGGAGAGGCTGGCTATCTGTCACACAGGTCTCCTGTTACAGAGACCAGTCTCTCACATACACTTCCTAATGTTATCATCTTAGTTTAATCATAATAACCTTGTATGTATATGTGAGAGAAGAAATAAAGATTGTTATTATTTAAAAAAAAAGTCATTCACAGATAAAGTTAACTCTGGAGAAATAAAATTGGCATGTTTCTTAGGGAAGCACAACCTAGCATTTAATTTATTATTATTTCTCAAGGACCTTATTGTGTTGACCAAGATTCAAAGTTTGCATCAGAATTATCTTTTGGACAAAGGCACATGTTATTGTTACAAACGTTACTGGAAAAGTGGCTGAAAAGTAATTAACACTCCATTAGTCGCGCGTTCTACTATTGTAGAACACGGGTGCATTTCGTAGAATTTTATCGTGAATTGTGGGTATTTAACGCACACACTCATAGTATTCCTCTATTATACACTGGTAATCACTATTTGTATCCTTGCGGTGACCTGCGCGATCGGACGTGTTAGAAATTTCGCGCCAAAACTAAAATTCTACGACTGTAGAGCGTGCGAGCACTCGCGTGACATTTTACTCGGAAGTTTACCTTTCGTGTTTACTTCATGTAAGTATTTATATTATGTGTAACTATTGTTATTGTGAGTTTTTTTTAGTTTAATATTATTTGTAACTTGAGTAATTGTATTTCTCAGAATAATGGCACATATTTTGAGATGGTTGGAAGAAGTTAGTACTGATGATGACGATATAATAGAAAGTGACACTGAAGCGGAGCTATGTGATGAAGACTGTGTTTTCGAATCACCACATAATACTGATACCGAACAAGAAGTAAGTGATACAGAACCATCCTTGGCAAGAAGCGAGCCAGGTACTTATCAAACTTTAGACTCGGATTTCGAATCGGAAGATGATATACCTCTAAGTTACCTCAATAACGATTACTACACGGCCAAAAATGGCACTAAGTGGATGAAACATCCTTATCCTAGCACGCGCATACGTACTCAGAATATTCGTACACAACCCACAGGGCCTAAAGGGGCTGCTAAAAATGTGTCATCGGAGCTAGAATGTTTTGAATTATTCTTTGATCAGTCTATCATAGAACTCGTAACAAATTCTACAAATATCTACATAGAGCAAGTGAAAACTAAATTTTCCAGAGAGCGAGATGCAAAAGTTACGGATATCTTGGAAATGAGAGCTTTTATTGGCATGCTTTTTGTAATAGGTGTTCAGAAATCCGGAAGACGTAATTTGGAAGATATCTGGGATACAACGCGAGGTATAGGTACCGAATTGATATATCTCGTCATGTCTCTAAGTAGATTTAGATTCCTTCTGCGAACGGTTAGATTTGATGATGTAAGGGATAGAGCAGTTCGTAAACAACAAGATAAATTAGCTCCAGTTCGAGATATTTTCGAGAAATTAGTCAATAACTGCCAACAACACTTTGTTCCAAGTGATTTCTTAACTTTGGATGAACAGCTTGTTGCTTTCCGAGGACGATGCCCTTTTAGGCAATATATACCAAATAAACCCGCAAAGTACGGTATCAAAATATTTTTACTAACGGATACAAAGGTACCTTATACCTACCACATGGAAATATACGCAGGAGCTCAGCCGGATGGTCCTTATGCACAATCAAATAAAGTTGTGGATATTGTGCAACGAATGCTAGCCCCACTGGATGGTTTAGGTTGTAACGTTACAATGGATAATTGGTTTACTAATATACCTCAAAGTTTAGAGCTCTTAGATCATAAAATTACTGTCGTAGGCACTGTGAAAAAAAATAAGCCACAAATTCCCGAAGAATTCAAAATCACCAGAAACAGAAGTGAAAGCAGTTCCATTTTTGGCTTCCAAAAACAAGGTACTTTAGTATCTTACATGCCCAAACCAAAGAAATTGGTTCTAATGTACTCAACTATGCACTATGATGATCATATCGATTTACAAACGGCAGAAAAACGTAAGCCAGAAATAATAACATTTTACAACAATACCAAATATGGCGTGGACATTGTAGACAAAATGTGTAGTACTTATGACGTATCCAGAAACTCCAGGCGATGGCCTCTTACTATTTTTTTTGATATTATGAATATAAGTGCTATAAACGGTTATATTATACATACAATATATAAGGACTTCAGTAATAAGGCAAGGAAGGATTATTTATACGAACTTGGTTTTCGCCTAGTTGCACCATGCATACAGCGCAGAATATCTATTGAAAGTATTCCAAAATCCTTGAAAATGAAAGGGAAAATGCTTTTAGGTATGAATGACCCATCAGAATTACAACCATGCCCAGCACAACCCCCCAATACTGGTCGCGTTGGAAAATGTTCCTTTTGTGGCAGAGCGCGCAATAAGTCCACCAGAAAACAGTGTTACACATGTAACAAGTGGATTTGTCCTCAACATCAGGTTCTACAATGTCCTGACTGCTGTAAAAATGATGAAGACCGTTTGGAGGATATGAGCGAGTAAAAAAAAAGTCACAAGAAAGTTTGAAGTCAAAAAATTATTGATTTTTCTCAAAATTTACAAGAAGTCTGATATTATGTTCCTAATAAATGTTAACAGTTATGCTTTGTCTGTTTTAGTTTCTTATTAAAGTTTATTTTTATATGATATTGAAATATTTTTATTTTATTTATATTGTCCCTGTAAAATCTTTACACAAAGTTGTTCTACATATGTAGAGCGCGCGAGCACTCGCGTTCCAATCAGGGGCGCGTGTACTGGAGTGTTAATAAGTTTTGTTGAAAAATAAGTTTTCACTTATAGTTGATGAGAACACAGACAGTTCAACAATTAAACATTTGGCACTTATTGTAAGAACTGCAGTTGATTTTCATGTTGAAGATAGACTCCTATCTTTAATACCAGACATTGATGGTACGGCTACAGCCTTATATGTATAATGCCAGTACAAAATATTTTTAAAATAATAATATGGTTGGATTTGCAGCTGACGGAAATAATTCAATGTTTGGACAACACCATTCTCTGTCCTCATTGTTTGCAACAGAGGTTCCGAATCTGTTACTGATGATATGCATATGTCATTCGTTTCATCTGTGTGCCTCATATGCCTGCAAAAACCTACCACGAGGTGTGGAGGCCTTTGCTCGTGACACGTACAACTACTTACAAAATTGTCCAAAACGCATTGGAGACAACAAAGAGTTCCAATGCTTTGTAAATGTAAAGCCGTATAAACTACTACACCCTGCCCAAACAAGATGGCTGTCCATGTTACAAGTTGTGAAAAGACTTCTTGAACAACTACCAGCATTGAAACTATATTTTCAAAGTGCTGTTTTAACTGACCGATTGCTTGCAGCTCAATCTTTGATAAATGTATGGAACCAACCACAGAATTATATTTAGAGTTCCTAAATATTGTGTTGCCATACTTTGTTGATTTGAACAAAGAGATGCTATCAGAGAGCCCAAAACTCTACTTGCTATATGAAAAGATTTTTGTAACCTACAAGACAATACTAGAATGTTTTATGATGCCAGAATATTTGGAATTGACAGAACAGGAAAAATCTGACATTCAAGTCCATGACAAAGCTGAAGCATTGGAAACAAAAATATTGGTTTTGGACTTTGAAAAAACTGAAAACCACTTACTCCTGGAAGACATATACTTAGGAGGCAATGTCGCTGCTTTAATTATAAAGAACAGAAGCAGTATTCATCCTGATAAAACATCCTGATAAAATAAGACAGTTAAGACAAAAATGTCTTGAATTTTACATTGAAAGTCTTAACGCCCTTCCCTTTGAAGATAAGCAAAGACAAAGACTGAAGAATTTAAGCTTCTTAAACCCTGATACTTTGCTGAACTCGAATTTAAAACGTTCTGTACCATCTATAGCTCATTTGGGGCAAATGCTGCCAGGTAATAATATGTTTATCATTCATTTTAACTTTTTTTATTTATGAATAAAATTGACTCTGCACTGCACTTTCAACTACTTTACATATTGTATACCTATTCTTTTTCAATGTATACTTAATTTATTTCAGCATTATGTCCTACAAATTTGATAGAGTAAGACGGGGAATGGAGAACTTTAAGAAATACAAATCTTCCATTTCAAGAGGATCAGCTAATCAAAGCAGATGAGTTTTGGTGTCATATTGCCAATATAAAAGAAGGTGATGGAAGTCAGCAGTTTCCCCTTCTGGCCTAATTTACACAAAATTTATTAACATTACCTCATAGTAGCGCAAATGTTGAACGACTTTTTTCTTCAATAAACTTGATGAAAACTGACAACCGAGTTGGCAACACTGCCGCGACTACACTATTCAGAGCAGAGACATCGCGACTTAACACAAACGTGCGGGCCGTGTACACAGGTTCGATGCATATATCTCGTGAGTGTTCCAATATCGACGAATTGTTGTGCATGCTCGATCGGGACCCGGGTCCTAGTGCCGCGTCGCGCGGGATGCTGCGTGCTATGGTCCGGTACGCCTAATCGCGCGAAGAGACGCTGCGCAACAGTGGCATATTGGAGTCGCCGCTCACCGAAGCCGAACAGCGAGTTGGCGCTGGTCCGCGACGAGTGTCGCTTCCCAGCGCGCACCCCGGCCACCCCTGTGCGCCGCCCGTTCGCAGCCGTGGGTTCTCGCTGCCTCTGTACCGGTGGCGCACTCCTACGCGACGACGATGGCCGCTCCTACGGTCCAAGCGCAGCCCCTCAGTGCCCCTGCAGCCCCAAAGAAGTCAATATATCCGCCCATCTTGATCGAGTGCCTCCCCAATTATGTTCATCATCTGGGGAGGATCAGCCAGCTGTTAGGACGTCCCGCCAACGCCAGAGCATACGGTAAGGGCTACCGTATATCGCCTGATGCCGAAGAATACCGGGTGGTCCAGCGCTACCTCTTGGACCTGGAGAAGGAGGACCGCCGAATCTCCTAGTGTTTATATTCCATGCCTGCGGAACAGGACCTTAAGGTGGCGATCCGGGGTATACCTGTCACCACCGACCCCGAGGAACTGGCCCAGGCGCTCGGAACCCTCGGGTACGAGCCATAGTACATTCGCACAATTCGTGCCAGGAAGGGCCGACCCGGGTGTATTTTTCTCGCCGTCCTGCGACGCACTCCGGACATCAGCCCTGCTATCTACAACATAACCGAGCTGTTGTACATGACAGGGGTGACGATTGAAGCCTGGCGCGGGAAGCAGGGTCCCGCGCAGTGTCTCCGTTGCCAATCGTTAAGGCACTCTTCGGTTAACTGTCATCGACGTATGGCGTGCGTTCGTTGCGCGGGAGAGCATCGCGCGGCGGACTGCACCAGACCGAGGGACATGCCGGCGACCTGCGCCAACTGCGGGGGGCCTCACCCCGCCTGCCACTCGTCTTGCCCGGTGCGCAAGGAGGAGGAGCAAAACCAGCGCGCGGGCACATTTTCCCGAACCGGCCCTTCTCGCCCCTTGCGCCAGCGCCGCAACGATCATCCACAAGACAATGTTTCACACCCGGCCATGGGCGCAACACCTGCGGTCGCCCCTTCGACGTCCGGCGTCGCTCCTACTGGCGACGTGGACGATTTCGTCACTGTGCGGCGCCGCACGAGACGCGGTGGCCGCAGACGTGGTCGTGCCCCACCTTCGCTTGCCGCGCAGGAGGCAAGCCGCGCTGCCGCACTCCATGCAGTAACCACAGACGTCGCCTACCGCGCCGCCGCCGCAGCCACTACACTACCACCTCCGCGCTCGCGCACCAGGTCCCGCGCGCTCCGGCCACAAATGGAGGAGGCGCTGGCTGCGATCGCCAATATCCTCCAGGCTGTACAAGCCGGGGATAACCTAGCCCCGCTCTTTATGAGAGCTGCATCGGCCCTCAAGGGTCCAACCCGAGGACGCAGTCGCCGACAATGGGGGGTCTCCGTCTCCTTCATTGGAATGCGCGTGGCCTCGCGGGTAAGGCCACATACCTGAAACAAATACTAATAATAAAGCATATTTATTCAAGACTTACAATTTGTTTTGTTTACAACCTATTTTGAGTTAGTATATTTCTTAAACTATGTTAGTAAAAGTTATTGAAGTCTTGACCCCATCCGGGTATATGCCTCCTCCATCTCATTCCAAACCTGTATATCCTTTGCTTTCTCTAGCCAGTTTGTGCCTGCCACTTTGCAATGTCGTCCATCCACCTCATTTTTGGTCTGCCCCGATGTCTGTTCCCTGGGGGGCCTCTCCATTTTGTGATTTTGAGAGTCCATCTTTGGTCTGGGACCCTGGCTACATGTCCTGCCCATCGCCTTTTCATTTTTAGAGCATGTTTGAGAACGTCTATAACATTCATCCTTTCCCTAATGGTTTTGTTGCTAACTTTATTAATTTTACATGAAAGCTTTTTAAGAAAACCAATCAATCTATCTTCAATCTATCATTTATAGTCCGGTCTATTTAAGCCTAAAATCAGGAGGAAGGTTACATAAATTCCCATAAAGCTGAATATTGGCATAGTTGTTCAAAACATCATTATAAAGAAAATCTCAAAAGTCCTCATCGTTCCGAGGTGTGCTAAAAATTTGGCACGGGGTCAAAGGTCAAAAAAATGAGTTTTTTGCGATTTTTAGCGAAACGGTGAGTTTTTTCGCAAAATTACCCCAGTACAAAATTGTAGATCACGAAATTCTCTACAAAAAATATATTAATAATTTTTTTCCTAAAAGCCACCATTTTGGAGATATAACGTTCCGAAAAGTTGGATCAGTCGTAATCCCTCTATTTTGCACACGTACGCCACATATGAAAGTCACTAAAGGTGTAATAGAACTAAAATAAGTTCGCTATTATTTATTGTAACTTGCTTATGTAAAATATAAGTTAAACTACGAGAATCTCAGGTATAATGAAACCCCGTTCCTAAATTTGTACGTCAGTATAACCTTGGGATAACATCTGTCTTTTATTCTATTGTCCGCGTGGCTAGGGTCGTATACCTGCTTTATGTTGGCATGCCCAATATATGAAATACATACCGTTAGTCTTGAGCGCCACTGCGTAGGGAAAACATGTGCTTATCTTAAACTATCTTTTAACCTATTTTGTGCGTTTTAGATTTTTATAAGAAAAATGTCAGAATATTGTTTTATTTGTACTCATCTTTTAACTGAAAGTGAAACTGTAACTGTTGATCGTGGTATGAAGACACTGATTAATGCAAGTGCTGAAAGAGATGATGGATACTCGGAATTTCTTAAAAAACAAAAATCTGTGACAATACATAGCAACTGTCGTAAAATTTATACGCGGAAGTGTTCTATTGCTGCTGCCATCAAAAGAAAACGCGAAGAACAAGAAGCTAACACATCTACAGGATCTACAGTAAGTAGTCCTCCTCGTCTAGATCCCGTTCAAGTGATTCAGCTTTTTGTTTTAAAAAACTATGTTTATTTTGTGGCAATAAATTGAATGAAGAGTTGCAGAGAAAAAAATCCTTAGATCGTCGCAGTAAAATTTGTCAAGTAAGTACACTCCAATTCAAACATTCAATTTTGGAAGTAGCACGAACTCGTTCCGATGCTATATCGAAAGCTGTTGTTGCTCGAATCGAATTTGACTATGATTTAGTTGCTGCTGAAGCAAAGTATCACCAAGAATGTTATACTTCTTTTTTGAAACCGACTACTGGCGGTACAGTTGGTCGTCCTAAAGATGAAGCAACAGATCTGGCAATGCAGGAAATATTTACATACATTGAGAGTAGCAATGACTGTCAGTTTACTTTGGCTGAGTTAAAAGATGTTAGCAAAATTTTAACTTTAGATAACAGGACTATTAAGCTGCGACTTAAACTGAAATATGGCGATAAAATTATTATCACTGAAAAACCGGGAGCGTTAACATTTGTATGTTTGATAAACAGTCACCATGAAATTTTAAATCAATCTTGGTCCGAAAATAAAAAAATTAATAAACAAGAAGAACGATTAAAAACTCTAGAAGCAGCAGCATCTATTATTCGAGAAGATATTCAATCCTCGGTATTTGATAATTCCTACTACCCTCCACCAGGTCGAATGTTTGAAGATTTAAATAATGACATCCCACAGTCACTGACATTTTTTTTGGAGCAAATGATCTTAAAAAATAAACGATCAAATTTCGATCATTTAAAACTAGTATGCACCAATATTTGTCATAGTATCATGACTGCTATTCGACCAAGATCGTTCAAGTCCAAATTACAGTTAGGTCTTTCAGTTTTTTTTCATCGGAGGTTCGGGTCTAAGCGTCTTATACAAATTTTGTCGTCTTTTGGTTTGTGTGCTTCTTATAATGATACATTGATGTACGAGTCAGCAGCAGTTTTTCATCCTCTTCCTCATGTCCTACCACCTGAAAGTGGCACACTTATTCAATACGTTGCAGATAATGCTGATATAAATGTTAATACGCTAGATGGTAACAATTCACTCCACATAATGGGTATAATTCAAATTGTAACTCCAAAGCACTCTGTTTTACTAGAAGAACCTATGCAACGAATAAAAGAAGTTCTTTCAGCAAAACACTTCAAAGCAAAAGCTCATGTGCCAATACAGATCTATCAGAATAGTGATGTAGTTGGTTACAGTAAAATATATGTCCAAGATTTTGGATATGGAACTGAAACAGTATCTTTTCATAAAAATTCTGATGTAGTATGGTTTTATGGAAAGTGGAAAAATACATCATTACCTGGTTGGAACGGTTTTATTGAGCGCTTAACAAATTACCATACAAATTATTCAAAATCTCAGATTACATTTTTACCATTCATCCATCAACCAGCTAGTAACTATAATACTGTCTATACGACTTTACTTTGTGCATTAGAGAACGCGAAACGTTACGGCCACACTGTATGCATCGTGACTTTCGACCAACCCTTGTATGCGAAAGCTCGAGAAATTGTATCAGCCGCACCTGACGGCTCTGAAGTATCGAAGATTATTGTCAGACTTGGAGGATTTCATCTACTCATGTCTTATCTCGGAGCAATTGGTTATATTATGCAAGGTAGCGGGATAAAAGAAGTACTCTCAGAAATCTATGCACCAAAGTCATTAGAAAAAATGCTCAATGGTCATGCTTACGCAAGAGCTGTTCGAGCACATACACTACTCCAGCTGGCTTTAGCAATTACAATATTAAAAACAATAGATATTAATGATATCATGGGAGCAGATTTAATCATAAATATTGACCATATATTAGATAGCACTCTTTCATATTCAGATATTGAAAATGATAATGAAGTATCAGGTGCTTTACTTCATAAATTTAATATGAAATTGAAAGATTTTGAGGAACGAGGACCAACAGCGCAACTTTGGATACAATATTTTAATATGGTTTCACTTGCAAAAGAATTTTTGAGAGCTGAGCGTATGGGGGACTGGAAAGCTCATTTAAGTTGTGTAAAAGAAATGTTACCTTATTTCCACTCGTCAGGACATTTTCCATATGCTAAATCTGCACACTTGTATTTACAAGACATGATGCAATTACAGGACTCGATGGATCCTGAAGTTTACGAAAAATTTACCGAAGGATTTTTCACCGTGAGACGCTCAGATAAATTGAGTTGTGGAACTTCTACAGACATGGTTATCGAACAGTCTATGATGAAAGCCATGAAGACAGATGGAGGTATTGCTCGAGGAAGAAGTACAAAACAAAGTGTAATCAGTAAATGGGTTTACAGCATGCATGCAATGAACACAGTTTGTGAGAAATTAGAAGATCTTGCTAATGTTAGGATGGATACGACTGAACAGCATGTTGATGCCAGTGATTCACGTGTAAAAAAGACGCTAAAGACATACGAATGCTTCTTGAGTGGTTCTCGATTCATGATCCTTTCCCAGAGGTTAACAAAGTCATCTCGATTGCAAGTGGTGTCGTTGGTGATAATACAATTAATTGCTATAAAGCACGTGAACTTGGGCTTATCTCTATTGCTAAAATAACTGGACTGACATTTAAAGATATTAAACTTAAACGCGCTGACAAAGTTGTTCCTCTTTTAGCTATGAGTAGCACCGTAAAAGTTCACGAAGAAAAAGTACCTGTTGACCCAGTGTTATTATTCCAACGTATGAGTGTTACTGCGGCTTTTCAAGATGAAATTGAGAAATATTTCGAGTATGAATTAGCTCCTTATCCGTTAACATTATTTGATGACATTGGAATGCGCAAGACCCAGAAGTCGGCTATTTACGATTGTTTTCAGACTATAAATGTTGATATTAATAACACTAATTCAACGTACATAATTGACGGAGGATTCTTATTACATCGAGTGGTGTGGGATAGCGAGGAAACATTTAACGTTATCTTAGATAAATACGTTCAATATGTACGTCGACATTTTGGTTCCAGAGTTACTGTCGTATTTGACGGATATGATGATTATACGAGAAATATTAAAGCAGCAGAGCAACGCCGTCGAAATGCTGCTTCATCAACTTCTTCTGATATTATATTCGATGATTCAATGACAGTTCCTACCAGTCAACAGAAATTCTTTGCAAATAATCACAATAAATCTAGGTTTATTTCGATGTTGAAAGCAAAATTTACTGCTGAGAATATATCCGTTGAACAAGCTAATGATGATGCTGATGTATTGATTATTGAAACAGCGATAAAGAAATTCAGTGTGACAAATACAACTGTTGTTGTTGGTGAGGATGTTGATTTACTCGTCTTGCTTACTGCTCGAACTCCAACTGAAAAAAATATTTATTTTTTTAAACCCGGAAAAGCCCAAAATCAATCGGAAATATATTCATCAAACAGTTTATCCAATTTTCCTAAATGTCAAAATCATGTATTGTTTCTACACGCAATAACTGGCTGCGATACGACATCTGCTTTTTACAGGAGAGGAAAAACAACAGTTTTCAAAATGTTTGAAAAAAAAGATTTACTACAATGTGCTGAAGTTTTTAAAAATAGTAATTCAACTCAACAACATGTTATCACCAACGGAGTTCAATTTCTTCTTGCTATGTACGGAGCCCCCAAAAAAACCACTTGCTTAGATAAGTTGCGATACACATCTTTCGTGAAAAATACGCGTAATAAAAAACAAGTCAACTTAGCTTCTCTTCCTCCAACCTCAGTAGCTGCTCATCAACATCTGTTTCGGGTATATTACCAAGTTCAAGTGTGGCTTGGTAATCAGCTGGACCCTAAAGACTGGGGTTGGAAGTTGATCGACAATACACTAGAGCCAGTTCAAACTTTACTTCCACCAGCACCTGAGAAACTTCTCAACACAATATTTTGCAACTGCAAGAAAGGGTGTAGTGCAAAATGTGGTTGCAGAAAAGTTGGACTGTTTTGTTCCCTGGCATGCACACACTGTCAAGGCCGATCATGCTCGAATGTTGAGTCACCAACTCTTGAAGATTCGTTTGATACCGATCAGGAATCGCTATTGGGGCAGTTTACGTGTGAAATAGAACAAGAAGAAGAAGAAGAACAAGAGGATGAACAGGAAGAAGAAGGAGAAGAAGATCAAGAAGAAGAAGAAACAGAAATCTTGGACAGTTATGAATCAGACGACTAACTTTTTATTTTAAGTATTTTATTTAATTACACCGCCGTTGTTTTTGCCCACTATAATATATAATATTATTTTGCAATAGTTTTAAAACATATAAAATCTCAGCAGACCCGTGGAATAGGCCTACTGGGGAAACCACGTTAAAAAAAACGCGCTTTGTACACTACCTCATAGGTGGCGTGGAAACGTGTGCAAAATAGAGGGATTACGACTGATCCAACTTTTCGGAACGTTATATCTCCAAAATGGTGGCTTTTAGGAAAAAAATTATTGATATATTTTTTGTAGAGAATTTTGTGATCTACAATTTTGTACTGGGGTAATTTTGCGAAAAAACTCACCGTTTCGCTAAAAATCGCAAAAAACTCATTTTTTTGACCTTTGACCCCGTGCCAAATTTTTAGCACACCTCGGAACGATGAGGACTTTTGAGATTTTCTTTATAATGATGTTTTGAACAACTATGCCAATATTCAGCTTTATGGGAATTTATGTAAACTTGAATGTGTAAATAGACCGGACTATTAGTAGACCGCAAGTGGATTCATGCTGCCAATTTACGGATCTTAAGTTGTAGCTTAAAAGAAGCTTTCTATTGACGTCAGCTAACTGTTGTTGCTAACAGCTAACAATGTTTTCAATATCCATGACTTGCCCAGTGGTAAATCATTTTTTTATGTATATCACGAAGGTCAGGCGAAAAAGGGTCCCAACGATGTGTGCTCCTTTATGGTGAAATACATAGATGAAAACATCCCAAGGACAGTAAAGCATTTATACGTATTTTCTGATGGATGTAGTGGGCAGAATAAAATCAACACTGTTACTAGGTTTCTGTTGGCATTGTTGGAGTCTGGAAGATTTCACTCGATAAATCAGTACTTTCCTTTTAGAGGCCACTCATTTCTGCCATGTGACAGAAATTTTTGTGTTGCTAATCGTAGACTCCGTGTAATGGATCGGTTGTATTCGGTGAAAGAAATATGCAAAATTATTGAAGAATCTTCAACAAAAAGAATTTTGCTGTAGTTAGATCGAAAGTAGTGACGTTATAAATTTCAAAGATTGGTGGGATGCCTACTACAAAAAAAAATATCTCTATGGTCAGATGGGAAAAAGGTAAGGTAATGGTAAAAAGATGCAAAAGAAAATTTCAATATATCAACTTCCATTCACTTGTTTTATCAAGACAGAGGAACAATCATTGCACGTACATACATTGGCAAAGATTTCAATAAACACACCCTCAAATTTGGAAATAGAAGTGACGTGTCTCTTTCTAACTTGGAAGATTAAACAAAAACTCCTTCAAAATTAATGAGCACGTACCATATACTTCATCACCTTTGCCACTTAGACAGTCACTAGATCATTCCAGATTAAACTATAATCCATCACCAAGCACACAAGATTCAATTTTGAGATAGTTTAACTCCTTCACCACATTCCATAAATACCAATGAACATAATACGGATAATACTATTACTATGACACCTCCGCAGACTTTGTATAAGCCTCTAACTCACCATCAACCAATTGTAACCACTGGTGTTCCATCTCAAATAATACTAAAGCCTCCACTGACACGATTGCAACAGTTTGAGGATAGTTGATACAATATTTGATGAAAATAACCAAAAAAAATGATATAACTTCTAATGTTGTAACAATTGAAGCCGACGTACATGCCGAGTATACTCCAAAAGAAGTTATCGTTATTACCTATTTGTTATTATTCAATATATACTACGTTTCACTGACGCTCAGTTTCGCGCTTAATATAATGTGGCGTCCTCGTCGTCATCGGTAGCTGAAACAGAACAAATAAAAACATCAATAAAATTACCAAAATAAATTAAATATTAAATTGCAAAAATGTACTTACCAACTTCTTCATGTAAACCGTGTCTTTTGTTCTCCGCGGCTGGCGGGGCGAGGCGTACGCGCATTCCACAGCGCGCTCCTTCAGTTTACAGTTAGTACGGCTCACGATATCATACGGGACACACAGGCCATAGTGAATACAAGCAGAAATTTTCAGATTCAGCAAACGATGACTCGAGTTTATTTGTAACTTCTTATGTACCGCTACAACTTATTTGTAAATCAAACACCTCTGATGAATCAATTATTTGGAAAAATCCATGCCCTTCCTCTACTAGGTGGTGCCGACCAATTCGTTTCCAATTTATTAAGGAATCAAAGGAAGTTTCTTTACAAGAACAAAATTATTTCAAAAGTCAAATCGATGAATTAGTGCCCACTATAGTTGTTATTAATGATCGCGAAATTAAAATCTCACACACTTTACAATTTACTATGGTTGATGGTAATGTATGTTCTGCTCTTAGCGATTTATCTACGAGTAGGTGTTACATTTGTGGTGCAACACCGAAAGAGATGAATGACTTAAATAAATGTTTAAATAAGGTATCTGACGCTAGTAAATTTGAATTTGAGAGCTTATCTCCGCTTCATTCATACATAAGATTTTTTGAATATTTCATTCACGTTTCTTATCGAACTAATTTTAAAAGATGGCAAGCTCGTTCGGCCGAGGATAAAGCGTCTCTCGCACAGAGAAAAGGGTTAATTCAGCAGCAGTTTAGGGAAAAATTAGGCTTAATTGTTGATAAGTGGAGGAAGTGGCACATCCAATGATGGAAATACTGCACGTAAATTTTTCTATAACTCAGAAATTTCTGCCGAAATAACAGGTATTAAAAAAGATCTAATAGACAGACGTAGTCACCTTCTGCAGAGTCTATGATCAGGGTATAAAATAAATTCACAAAAATTTAAAAGTTATGCTTTTGATACTGCCAAAATGCTTGTTGAGGAATATCCTTGGTATAATTTGCCTTCATCTATACATAAAGTTTTAATGCACGGTTCAGAGGTGATTGATAATGCTATATTGTCTATCGGTGAATTATCTGAAGAGGCCGCCGAATCTTGTAATAAATTAGTTAAACTATTTAGACGCAATAACACTAGGAAACATTCCCGAGAAGTAACTAATTTGGATCTTTTGAACAGACTTCTTCTTAATTCAGACCCACTCATTTCTAGCATAAGAAAGTTACCTTGTAAGAAGAAGTCTGTATTAGCAAAAGAAGTGTTAGATTTATTATGTACTTAAACAATATTGGCATAAAAGAAACCTGAAAATATTGTGAATTATAATGTTTTCCTATTATGTAAAAAGACGATGTTTTATATAAATCCTATGTTCAGTTTTCTATTATCTGGTAATTTTTATTATTTATATGTAAATTAAGCTATTTTCAGAAATAATTTATAAATGAAACTTATTTTATTGCTACCTATTATTTATTAGTACGGATGGATCCTTTTTTTGAGAATATACATCTACCTTTTTAAAAATATATCTATTGTTTTACTTGTTATTATCATTAAAACCTTAAAACAATCATTTCTTAGATAAAAAAGTGAATATTACATTTTTAATCCGACATACAACTTCTATGACCGCCTTTCTTAGGAACATGGACCACTGTGGGCTGATGGCTTTCTCTACATCAATGCATTCACCGAATTATAGAGCAGTGGTCAGCATTAAAACTTTTTTTTTTTCAAAATGAGTTATTAGGAAATAAGAATGCAAAATATGCTACTTGTCAATTTATATTTGATCACCTTAACAGCGATGAAACAAAACCTTATCTTTACTTTTTAGATTTAATATTACCCATAACTAGAAAATTTAACGTTCAGACCCTTATTCATAAAATTGAAACAGACATACAAAACATGATGAGGTCCATTTTGAGTTGCTTTATGAAGGTAAATTATATAAAAACTACTTCGCTTCAGTCAATAGATCCATTTCAAGAATGCATTTCCTTCCTATACAAAACATGTACCTGGGCACAAACGTAGCCATAACATTGGAATTATCAAAAGATGATGTTCGAATGAAATCTAAAATTGAAGAGTTTCTTAACAAGTCAAGCATTTTTGATCGAGCTAAGATAATTTCTTGCAGGATTTGTCGCACATCGATCCCCAAAGGGAGGTGTATGGTGAATTTCGAACTCTAATAAAAATACTACAAAGGTTTCCTAACTTAGTTACAACAGAAAATATGCAAATTGTTGACTATTAAACTACTACTACTATTGACTATAGAATTAAAATTAGATGTTTCCGTGTCTAATTTATTGTCAACTTCGAGTTCAACGTCTGAAAATTTTATGGTGGATAAATTTTGGAGTGAGGTCAGCCAAATCTGTGATGCGAATAGCAAACCAAAATATGGCAATTTGTTCCGGTTTGTGCAGCAAACGACGATACTACCTTTGTCTAACGCCAAAGTTGAAAGAATATTTTACGATATTAATAGAATTAAAAGTCAAGATAGAAATCGTTTTAATTGTAAGAATGCTGCAATAATGCATGGAAAAGAGGGGCTACGACAGTTGGAAGGAGGATGTAGCAGATTTGATCCTGACAGAAGTATGATCAAGCTATGCAGGAGATGGTGATCATCCTATATATGTCAGTTCTGTTTGGTCCAGATTTAATTCTTGTCTGGATTGATTAAGACTTCGGTGTCTGCATGGAACCGGAAACATGTTGTACCTATATGTCTGAGTGTGATGGAAGTGTCTTGAAGTGCGAGGAGTAATAAGCTGTGTGGTCTGACACATTGTGTAAGGGATAGAGACCCATTGTGTGTGTGTCAGTTGCGGCTGGGTGGAATTGGTGGTACACTATTTGTGTGTGATTGCGTCATCTCGACTAGCGGCGGTGATTTGAGTTTAAGTGTATGAATTCTAAGTGTGTATAGATTAAGATAGTTTATATAATTTATATTGTTTAGACAGTAACCTTTTTTATTTCTCTTGGTAATGGGTCTTACATTAATTAGTGTAATACTGTAAGACACATTACTGGACGGGCAAGGCCAGATCTCCATAAGGGACCTGGACCAATTTTTTGTCGGCAAAATGGCTGAGTGTGATAGAAAGTGTAGGTCTCGCTCTGGATCCCGAAGGCGAGAATTTTTGCGTGACCCGTCGCCCTCCACTGTTGTGGTGAAGGCGAGTAAATAGAAGGCGGCGAAACACGCAGATGGCCTTGAGGAGGCTGAGCGGGAGATGTTGGAGCAAGTGGCTCGTTCCACTGTGGAACGCCAATTGCGGAGTGCACGTCGGGAGGTTAGGCGCAAAGAAGAGGTATATATTTCTGAGGCCGTCTCAGGTCCTGCCTTAGAGGCTGAGAGGACCAATAATATAAACGACGTAGTTTTTAAAGAGGTGCCTCAACTGAGGGAACGCATGGTAGCTCGGGTTGGCCGTATTGTGGAAATTGCGGCGAAGTCGAATAACTTAAAAGGGGACTTGGTTCGAGCTCAAGGAACTGAAATAGTGGAAAATCTTGCTGAGCGGTGCTTGGACGGTGATGAGGGACGGCGTCTCGAGAGAGATAATATCCGGCTGAGAGAGATAATGCCCAAGCGTACAAAAATTTAATAAAAAAAAGGAGAAGCACTGAAAAACCTTATGCAAATTTTCAAAAAATTTAAAACTGACGCCACGATAGATGATGTTAAAAAAAAGATTAACATTTTACGTTAATCTTATAGGAAGAGACTCAAAAAAATACTAACCTTGTTAAGGAGCCAGCAGCGATGATGTTTATATACCAAAGTCATGGGTTTTCCATTTATTACATTTCATAAACAAGACAGAACAACCAATAACTAAGCAAACAACACAGGTAAGATTACATATATATATATTATTTTACAAAATGGGGATAGAAGAGGGACAAGAAAAGAAAAAAATGTAAAAGCAGTCATGTTTATTCATATTCCAATATGCCTTTATTATTATAATAATGACAAAAATTATCTATTATGGCTTTTGCATTTCGATTTCTTGATCGCTGTAATTCTAGTATTGTATTCTCATTATCAGAATTTGAAGTTTGATATATCTGTGATACCTTTTTAATCAAATAATTGTGCAAATAACACTATTGTAATGAATTTGTGATTACTTATTATTATTAAACGTTATTTATCATAATTTTAAATATTAAAGTAATCTTTGACACTCGTTCCTATGACTGCCGTTCGACTCTGTGGTCGATTCGGGTTCGGTCGTGGAACGAGTACACGAAATGTCACGAAACTGGTTAATGACAAATGCTGGTTGCTTAAATACAGGAACTGGTTGGTGTGGCCCTCAGTTCGATTGAGCGGTCTAACTAAGCAGAAGCCTTTAAACAGTAGACTCTCAATGTCGATATTAAATGGCTGATGCCAACAAACCAATCTATGACAATAAGGAGACTTATTTGTATAATATAAATAGTCGAATATTGAGGAATCATCACACTATGCTACTGAAATATTTGTAGCCTTATCAGGACTGACACTCATTGGTTTTTGAAATACTCCAAATTTACTATACAATATTCCAACCTCGGGTTCTGGACAATAGTTTTATAAATATTTGTTGCTCAGCGGTAGCCGACTTTTGTGAATATGGTTTCATCAAATGAGCAAAAGCTTTAACACCTACAATTATACAGGGTGTCCCAGAAAGAATGGCTAATCCTTGAACCCCGCACGGAACAGCTCTCCAGCGCTCAGAAAAAGAAATAAAAAAAAACTTACAAGTGATACTTAAAATATTTTTTTTTTAGAAAAACATACGTTATTTTTACTTTACTTCACATTTATGTGCACAACGGCCACAAAGTAATGAAATTTGTGGCGTTTTTGGTGTCATCTTATTGCTGATAGACTATACTACTAGAAATACATTGAATAATATAAGTATCTATGATACTTTTTTCAAAAACAAAATGAGAACTTGAGTTTTTGACATGAAATTTGATAACAAAATAATTTTGCCATAGTTTGAGAGTGTTTCATGTAAAAAAAAAGTATGAAAATGCTTGTATTTGGACTGACTCAGTGAATTAAAATGCCGCGGATTCAATATACGGCACAAGAATACGACAACATGCAATTCATCTATGGTGAGTGCAGGAGCAACGCAAGTGCTGCTGCAGCCCTTTATAGAGAAAGATATCCTAATGCGCGTCATCCAGATTACCGTGTATTCGTGAGAGTCCACAGATGTTATTCGGAAGGCAGAATACCTGGCAGTGGTATTGGTGGTGCGAGCTCCGGAAGACTAGCGAATATTAATACTCAAGACATTGTGCTTGACGAAATTCAGCAAGACCCGTCGACCTCTGTAAGAACAATATCACGGCGTACTGGAATCCCAAAAACGACCGTGCACCGTGTACTGAAAATAAATAAATATCATCCTTACCATATTAGACGCGTCCAAGCTCTGCAACCGAGACATTACAATGCAAGATTGTTTTTTTTGTCGACAAATGCTTGCAAAAATAGAAGAAGATCCACAATTCTTTGGAAAAATTCTATGGAGCGACGAATCAACTTTAAAAAAAGACGGATACTTTAAGATGCATAATCTGCACAGCTGGCAACTCTCGAATCCAAATTTGATGCGAGAAGAGAGGTCGCAATACCAGTTCAAAGTAAATTATTGGACTGGTATATTAAACAGGATAATTATTGGTCCTTTCGAACTGCCGGGAAATTTATCTTCTCATAGTTACTTAATTTTTTTGCAAAATGATCTCCCGAATTTCATGGAAGAAGTGCCTGAGGAGGAAAGGGAATCCCATTGGCTACAGAATGATGGCTGCCCTGCACATTATGGCACAAACGTCCGTGCTTATTTAAATGCCACGTTTCCAAATAAATGGATTGGGCGTTTGGGTCCCATTTTGTGGCCTCCTCGATCCCCGGCTTTAAGCCCACTGGACCTTTTTTACGGGGGATGTCTAAAGGAAGAAGTGTACTCAAAAAAAATTTTAAATTTGAAAGAATAACGCAGCCGTGTTCGGAAAAAGAAAACGAGTCTAAACGATAACTAAAGTAATAACGAAAAAAGTATCTCTGATGATAGCCCAACTGGGGAAGAAGATGAATAAAATAAGGTGGAAGAAGCAAATTCACAAATTATTAATATCAACAAATGGGTAATTGCAAAATATGTCTTAATAAACTTAAGAGACTTACGTGTTATGTGGGTGTTGTGCAAAATAAATAGGCCGTCGTTGGGAGGAAAAAATAGTACGATGCGAAGGGCGGAACTTTTGCATGACCTATAATAGAAGATATCGTCAAAATATTACCTAATCCTGAAATAACCAAGCGCGGCATAATATATTTTGATTATAAATTTTGAAATATGATTATATCCTAAGTAATTTGATAGTTTTTTTTTTTAGAAAAAGCTTTGATATTGATTGATCTCAGAATTATAATCAAGTATGTAAGAAAAAGTTCATTGTTAGAGGCCAGATGAAAAACCAACTTTTCCATACTTATCATCATCAGAAGATGAACAGCTCCAACTTGCAGGAGAATCAGATTACAGAATTGAACCGGGACAAGTATCTAACAATGAAAACGAAAGCGACAGTATTATTAAGTCGGAAAATAAGGATCTATCAATAATCTTATAAAAGGTGATTGGGCGAAAGTAAATTTCATTTCTGAAAAAAAAATGATTTTACATAGATACGTAGGACAAATACTGAGCACCTGGGATACGTCGGCACCCCAGCTCATCTTGCTAAGCTTAATAATGTTGACAGCCCTACGTGCGAATTCGGATATGCTGAAGCTGATTTGAACCACATCATGTTTGTTTGTTCTTGGCGCGACCAGTCGGCTTTTCTCGAAGGTCTTATTTCCCTTCATCCATATCCGGTTTACTTGCAACAATGGACCCACATGTATATAAACTTAAGCATCTTTTATCTTAAGTAATGATATCTAATATATAAAATTCTCGTGTCGCGGTGTTTGTAGTGAAACTCCTCCGAAATTAGTGGGTGATTTGACAAGTAACAGTTTTATTTCTACTTTTCGTCGATTCATTGCTCGTCGGGGTAAACCATTGCAGTTTTATTCAGATAATGGTACTACATTTGTTGGAGCTTGTAAAGATTTATCTGATTTCTTAGTGCGTAACTCTGACTCTCTTGCCACTGATCTAATTAATGATGGTGTTAACTTTCATTTCATACCTGCTTATTCACCACATTTTGGTGGGATTTGGGAGGCAGCAGTTATATCTACGAAATACCATTTATTAAGGGTATTAGGAAACTCTAAATTAACTTTTAAAGAATTGTATACAGTTTAAACGCAAATAGAAGCTATATTAAACTCTCGACCACTCACTCCCTTATCAACGCACCCTGAAGATCTGACCCCACTGACCCCTGGTCATTTTTTGATCGGACGTCCACTCACAGCTATTCCTACAGAAAGTTATGTAGACCACAAATACACTCACCTTTCAAGATTTAGAGCTAGTTCAGACATGGCGGAATCCGTGCGGATGCAAATCGCGCGGTTAGACCGCGCGGATCTTATTTACATTAGCGCCTATAAATTCGTTCATACCTGTCCGCGCGGATTGACAAACCGCGCGGCTACCGCCACTCAACCGCTAGAAAATGAATTCGCGCGGTTGCCGCTCGGATCTATTTACTTGACGTACCTAGAGCGCGTTCAGTTGCTCTGCGGAAGCCGCGCGTATCGGACGGTGACAATGGATCGCTTCGACACCGAGCTATTCATCGATGAGGTGGAAAAGAGACCTGCTTTGTGGGACATCCAATGTGCAGAATATTCCAATAAAATTATTAGAAACGGAGCTTGGCAGGAGCTGGTGGATATTTTTGGAGAAAATGAGGATTCTTTGGAAAAAAAGGTTCTTTTTGGTCAGTATGTATTTAATTTTACATTTATCAGGGTAGTTTACATATTTTGTAATTGACAGTCCACCCCAAATAACTAAACTATATAAAAATGTTGTTATTGTGATTGGAGGTAAGTATCGGGCGCGGGAAAAATATCACGTTAGCATAGTAACGGAGTAGCTAGTGACTATGTGCAACCGACGCGACGCCATCTTGAGTTTAGTTATTTGGCGCGAACTGTAACAAATTTTAATTTTGGAACGAAGTTCCTTATCGCGCGTTGTGAAAGGGGGCTAGACGGAAAAAAATCTCACGATTCTCACGCACGCAAACACCACGCCTCGCTACTCGCCTCTAGTACTCGCCTCCAGTGAGGTCAACTTCGTTCTATCCGGGTGTCCCTTGACACCTCTCAAGTTTTTATATTTTTGTGTCTTGCCATTCTACACGACCCTCATTTACAAAGTAATTAGCATATTTGTCTCTAATATTTAATGATGACGGTGTACCCCTTCCTGCATGTAATGTATTAAGATTACTCATTGGCCCAGTATATAAAGTATCTTCAAACTGTATACCATCTCTAGTTCTAACAAAATTGTGTAGCACACAACAGGCCTTTATTATGTCTTCGGCAAAGTCTATATTAACGTTTATAGGCCTATGAAAAATGCGCCACTTGTTTGCCAGAATTCCAAAAGTG